CTTCTCCAGCATATTTCTTGAGCGATAGCTTCTTCGTTAGTTGGTTCATTGCCAATCAGCCAGCCAGCTAGCCAGCCAGTCAGAGTTCCTCCTTGCTTATTCTCATTATTCTCGTCATCCATCTCATCTCATCTTCAATATCCAATGATTGTAGATGGCAGGTGTTGATGATGTATGTCTGTGGTGTTTTGGAAATGGTTTTCGTGATGTGCCAAGTCTCTCAACCATCACATGGGAGGATCGACTTACTTGACTGACACTGGTGTTGCAAATCTGGATGTTGTTCACACTTTATACTGAGTGGAATGGAGTGGAGTGAATTGCATTAGATCTCCACACTGATTTCAGGTTGTTGAAGGGAGGCCTTTCTTACTGTCTTTTCAAACTTTGTTTTTACATTTTCATCTGTGCGTGTGCCACCTGTAGTTGAGACGATGTTTCCTAGGTAGGTAGTTAGGTGGGTGGAAGAGACAACTTGCTCTAGATTTCGCCGGTCGATGGTGTTTGGTGCTCGTTGTTGCTGTTTGATTGGGTATCTTCATCACTTCTGTCTTCTCTTCATTCACCTGAAGGAAGTCCCATTTTTGCAACTTGTTCTGCCTAGTTGTTGATTTTTGCCTGTAGATCTTCGAGTTTGTGCAACACTAGACATAAATCATCATTGGTGATATCGAAATCTCTTTTTTGGTTTCGTTTCATCGGTGCCGAGTTTGTATGTCCCTCTTCTTTCTCCTCACGTTCCGCTGCACGGTGCAGTCGAGCACAGTGAGGAAGATCATGGGTGATAGTAGGCAAAAACCTTTTGTTTTGTCTTACTCCTGTCTTCACTTCAAAGGCGTCATTGTGCATTCCATTTTGAATCGCTTGGCATGTGTCGTCTTCATGTAGCTGCTGAATGAGATTCATGAAGATTTGTGGCACTCCGTAGTGTTGAAGCAGGTGCCAAATTACTTGTCGATCGACGCTGTCGAAGCCCTCTTCAAAATCAATCAAGTTGAGGTTGAGATGAGTTGACTGGCCTTCTATGCTCTGTTGTATAGTGATGTGTAGCCTTGCGATTTGACTCACACATGACTAGTACCTCCTGAATCCAGTCAGACCGTCCCGATCGTAATTTTGAATCCAGCGTATCTTGTAGTCTCGTCAAGATTATGTGGCCTAATATTTTGCTTGTGGTGACTGAGACGAGGAATGATTGCACGCCGGTTCTTGCAAATACTTAGGTTGCTCTACTTTAGGAGTTTGATAAGATAGCCGTTCTTCGAATCTGAAGTTACCTTTGCTTCGTTTTTGTTAACCTTTTGCAATAGTGTTGTGGTGTGAGCATGTTTGTTGTTGTCTGTGAGTGTATTTTGAGTGTTTGTGGGTGAATTATATCTGGTCCTGCTGCTTTAACGGTCTTCCCCAACTTTATAGCTTTCAGCTTAATCATTAGCTGACATCATTTAGAGAAGCACTTGAGGCCTAGTACCTGGAAATCGAACTTAAGATATTCATGTTTTATGGTTAACTCAATATCCATTTAACAACTGAGAGTCAGAGTCCAATGGTTCGTCGTTTCCTATTTACGCTTACAATAGCTTGTAGCTTAACTATCCACCAAGGTCTTCGTTTTCGACTAGTTGACCCTGTGGATGTAAATTCTCATTCGAACTTGAAGATATTAACCTTGAAACATGTCACTCTCTAACAGGAAGTATACAGTAATTGTTTGGAATTTTGTGGGGATCTAATCTATTTCAAGATAGTATTCATCGCTATCCCTGAAATCAGTAAGTGGTCTGTACTGCATGGAAGTCTCACCCTAGGAAGAAACATCTCGGCGAGGACATCGCTTCTATCGAGGTTGCAAATGCACCTCAATGATGAGTCCCAACAAGCATGAAACTCAGGTCAACTAAGGCTTTCTACCAATCACCTTCATCCAGCTAACACCTAATAAAAATCTACTAATCATTTTCTGGAGCTTTACTATGTCACAGGTTTTTTTAAGAAAGATACCTTTGAATGATTAGCGTCAGTACAATGGTTAATCTATTGAAATACTTCTAGTTTATAAGGTTTAAAAGGAGAAACTATTGGAGAATTATAAACCTGTTAGAATTTTTCCACAATAATGAATAATTACATATTGGCCATCACTCAGTGATATGAAATAAAAGAGTATAGTACTAATTTTAGTCATTCATATTCTTACTGAGTAAATATTAGGCTGCAAGCCGCAATCGAAAGGTATTGGTCATAAGCAAAAGAATTAGGGTTTGAGATTTCAGAATCAGATAACGGCTTGGATGGATTAAGGGCTTATTCGATAGAAGAGAAGTCAGTGCATATAACTGCTACATAAATAGTGAAGTGAAAGCAACTACCTACCCCCAAATGACTGTTATATTTGTCCTAATTCCAATAGAAACCGTTGAGTAACAGTTTATAAACGTTTAGAAACACTTGTAAGCTTTATGCTACTACCTTCCAACTTTATGATGGTAGTACTTTTGTGGATAAATTAAACTATTTTCTAGCTGTTATTCATCGTAGACTGACATCAGTTGGAAGAACAATGGTAACCTAGGAGCACTGAACAGCTGTTAAGTCCTAGTGTGCGACTCCTCAATAGTGGGCACACACCACCCCGCCCTCCAGGGGTCGAAACCGCTACCTTCAGGTTCCATGGCCAGCAAGTTACCATTGAGCTAGCCACTGGGTCAGAATCCAGTCATCCATGTTTCCAACTACTGTTAGCCCACGATATAGTGCAACTACCACCCAGTGTCATCGTTGAGTAACTGTCCTCACAACCATCAGGCTTTGCCCCCACCGGTGACGACTTCTCATTGAAACTTCGGGAATACTTCTCGAAGCTAGTCACCAATGAGTACCAGTTCAATTGAATTTTGAGGGAGTTGTGGGTATTTGGAAATATTTCAAGTTGTTATTCATCGAAGACTGACATCAGTTGGAGGAACAAAGAAAACCTGGGAGCACTGGACAGCGGGTTCGATCCCTGGCTGGGTTGTCGGTGAGCACTACTGAGGAGTCCCATACTAGGACGAAACAGCTGTCCAGTGCTCCCAGGTTTCCTTTGTTCCTCCAAATGATGTCAGTCTATGATGAATAACAACTTGAAATATTTCCAAATCCCCACAACTCCCTCAAAGTTCAAACTATTTTCTAATTAGGACAACTGAGTCACCATTTGCTGTTACATATATAAAGTAGATGTCTGAATAATAGGTAAGAAGATAAGAGACAAAGCATTCAAAAGACTTTACAGCATCTCTTATAAAGAATGAAATCTTCCAAAATGCAATTTAGATGAACAGAAAGTGAACATAATACTAATTTTCAGTGTCTTAAACAAAAAAATCGATATAATTTGGGTGTTTGTAGGGATTTTTTGAAAATCAAGTTGATATTCATCATGGACTGATATCAATTGGAGAAACATTGGAAATGTGGGAGTACTGGATAACTGTTTCGTCGTAGTATAGGACTCTTCAACACTGCCCACTTCGACCCCGCTGGAGGTCGATCCCAGAACCTTGAGGTTCCGAGGCTAACATGTTATCATTGAGCTACCTATTGTCATCGCTGAGTATTTGTTCTTATGTGTACGCAGTTTGCTCCATCGATCTCAAAGCTACTGACCAATAATCACTAGATTAACTCATTTAAGGGGTTTGCGAGGATTTGTTGATTTCAAGTTAGTATATTCAACACCATCAATGACTTTTCTTCATGATTTATCACCTGATAGGACACTAATCAGACTTTTTTAAAGTGCCAAACTGGTTAGATTTGAGAAACCATTTCCAGAGTCAAATTTCAAACAAGTGGAACTCTCTTCAAAGGGGATATAATGTTGCCCATATATTCTTGTATATCTGTAAAATGAAACTGGATTTCGTTAGTATTCTATGTTTTAATGTAGGTCTTTTGATATCAAATACCGGAAAGTGCTGAATACATTTAACAAACTTGCTGAAACTTCTTCAACTGCCTCACTTTTTATTGGTATTCATCACGGAATGACATCCATTAGAGAACCAAAAACCTCAAAATTTAACCAATCTAGTGCTCATTGGTAATTCCTGAAGTTATTATAGAAAGTCGTGACCAATGGAGCCAACAAAGTCGAAAATGAAGACAATTACTCAATAACCGTATGGATGGAGGTCACGCTGTATTGTGAACTGGCATAAGTAGAAAATATGTAACACTAGGTTCCATTCCAGTGACTCAATGGTAACGTACTGAGCGCGGAAACCGAATGTCCAGGGTTCGATCCCCGGTAGGAGCATGAATGCGCACACCTGAAGAGCCACGCACTAGGACGAAACAGCTTCCCAGTGTTCCTCTAACTGATGCCAGTCCATGAAGAATACCAACCTGAGGTCAATAAATCTCCAGAAACTTCAAAATTACCTCACTTCTTTTATTCAAACATAAATTTATAACTTTCATATTAACAACAATTTTGTACTGACTGATGATTGAAGGTGAGATGAAAATCCAGACAGCACCCGGATTCGGACCTGCCACCACCGGGTTACTGGCCCAGTGCTCTACCAACTGACCTGCAAGGTCCGACTGCTGACTAGAATTTTATTTCACTTCAGTCACCCTATGTGATTCAGTTAAATTTGGATTAGGATGAGAAGTCGTGACTAGGCAGTCAGTGTGAATACGAATTTACATTGTAGCCGGGGAAAACCCTTTGTGACTGAAGTGAAATGAAAATCTCGTCGGCAGTCGAACCTCGTAGGTCAGTTGGTAGAGCATCGGGCCAGTAACCTGGTGGTCGATGGTTCGAATCTGGAAGCGGTCCACATTTCCATCTCACCTTCAATCTTCCCCCATAACAAATACTAGTCTTCCATACTACGGCTATCTTAGATAATCAAATCATACTTATTTTGCTTACTTTTTACAGATTATTACTTTTCGTAAACTGGCTAAGCGGAGAAACATATCTTCTTGTCCGTTGATCATTTTATATTATGCAGTGTAATACAAACAAGGAACAATTTGAAAATTTAAAATTTTCATTTTTATCTACAAGACGAGAAGCATTGAAATTTATAAGCATGACAGTTATTTCATTGATGAATCCTGCTAAACACCTTCTATTTTCATCTCGAAGAATCGGTTATCATATGAATAATTCTATGGTGAAAAAGTCATTTATAATATCGATTTTTTTAGTACTTCTTTTCGTGGAAATTTCAGCCATGTAAGTTTACGCTACTTAATAATTTGTTAGTAGTAAAAACTTGTGAGTAAAATATCTATTTCATCGTTTTAAGTATGGTAAAATTTGAATTAATCACACCTGAGATACCAGCTCCAGTTACACACAAGATCCATTTAGTAAATATTGGTTTTTTTTGTAAATGGTTATTGAGTGTGTGTGTGTTCTACAGAACATCAAACACACTCCAGAGCACCATAGTTCATTTGAAGGACGAAATCTCTCTTGATTGGCAATCTAATTGCTTTTATTAAAAAAAAAGCTTAAACTGTGATATAATATACATGGGATAAACTTCTCATGAAAGAAAAAAATTAAAGAAAATAAACACCGTAAGACTTCCACCTCATCCCCTAAGAAATCCAGTGGAACTGAAAAAAACTTGAGAACACATCACCATAGCTCTACATACTATAACTTCAGGTCATAAGGTTGATTTTCACAATATCGAAATTATTCAAAAAGGTGGCCTTAGAAATCGTAAACAACGTCTCCTAGCAGGACATCTTCACATAGAGTGGGATCAAAATTGTCTAAATAGGAAGGAATGGTCTCAACTGACCCCCACATAATGACATAACCAACACACATAGGTAATCATAACTATCAACACATGTGTATATACAAATTTCAATCAGTAATTCATTCACTTTTCACACGAAACACACTACACTTGGATCTCAGCTTTATTCTGCAATTCATACAAATTAGAATCATTCATGCAGAAGACCACTTATCAACTTATCATATATAAGCATGGAAAATATAGGTATTCAACACTACACAATATCACAAACATTTATCAATCTCATTCAACAACTAGCTATATGAAGGCGCCACATGCCAAGTAATTCACAATGGAAAGATCAGTCATGCCTTTGAAGTGAAGACAGAAGTAAGACAAGGCTGTCTACTAACACTCATGATACTCCTGATTGTGGTGGACTGGATCATGCAGCAGACAACAGTGAGGAGTGAGAAGAAGAGGATACACTGGACCGGGAAAACATCCTAGAAGATTTTGATTTCGCCGGTGATGACTTGTGTCTGATGTCACACAAACTTGAAGATCTACAGGTGAAAAGTAACAAGTTGAGAGAAGATGCAGATCAGCGAAGGGAGACAGGAGTTCAAGTGAATGTGGAGAAGACAGAGGTGATGCAGATACCCAGCCAACGCCAACACCACAATACCCAACAACAACAACAAGCTGATTCACAATGAACGGGACAAAGTTAAGGGAAGTAGACTCTTCCACCTATCTAGGCAGGGCAGCAACCTTCCAACTACAGACGGCACAGACACAGACGAGGACGTCAAACCCGCCAGCCAGCCAGCCAGCCAGCCACGATCGGAAAGACAGCAAGACAAGCAAGCCTTCCTTCATTAACCTGAGAGCAGTGTGGAGATCTTCTGCACTGCACTCTACAGAAAGCGTCAACAATATCGGAGTTTTCAACACCAATCCAGTCAAGTAAGTTAGTGCTTGTATGTGATGGTTGACAGACTTGTGCTTTACGAAAAGCATTTGCAACAAACTTCAGATATTCATCAACAACTGCTGCCTACGGTGACTGGTTACTGAAGCTGAGATGGGCGGAATATTGAGAATAAGCATTAGCGAACTCTGGCTGGCTGGCTGGCTGGCAACGAACCAACAGAGGAAGAACCTATCGCTCAAGAAATATGCTGCAGAAGGAAGTGGAGATGGATTGGGCATGCAGTGAGAAGACCGTTTGGGGATATGACACGTCAGGCCTGGCTGTCGAGTGGAATCCAAATGGGAAATGAGGAGTTGGGCATGGGAGATGGGGGTGACATGGAGGAGATTGTGTGAGAAAGAAATGAGAGCTTGTGGGCAGTCTGGGAGGCAGGTTGAAGAGACTGGAAGAGAAGAGAGTGGAATGGAGACGTGCTACTGAAGCGGTATGTTCCACTAGGAATCCAAGCGATAAATAGTAATAATAATAATACTGACAGTAATAATAAAGATATGGGAAATTCTGGTTTAGCATAACTTTGATAAAGCTATTAACAGCATTCAATAGAGAAACGTTGGCTAAAACCAATTTATTTCGTTTTACATTCTCATTGTTTAATAAAAATAGCAGAATGATGGGTAGTATATCATTTACTCAATGCCTAAATTTTTTCAAACTGTCAAATTCCAACTTGGCTTGACTTTCCATAGATCAGAAACATATGTCTTTATTCCTAAGGCAACTATCACTAACAATCACCATCAGTAGACTAACCATTGGACAGGAATTTACGTCTAACGGGAAACTTTTTGACAATGCATATCCTTGACGCTATATATTCTTGAGCTCAGGGTTGTTAGGTCTCCCAGAGAATACGTTATCATCCAACTACTACTAAATCACAGTCGACACATTCGAAGATAAGGAATTTTTCACAAATTGAATTTACACTAAGACTCTCTTAGAGGCAATCGGCAGGAAGCCTTGGACCGAGGTTTCATGCTTTTTGGCACTCGTCAGCAAGGCGTATGTGTAATCTAGACAGAACTGGTGTCCCGCCTGAGATTCGAAGCCGCATCACCCAGTGTTGTAGTCAGCAACGTTTACCACTGAGCTATTCAGCCTGAGGTTGCAGATACGCCTTGCTGACGAGTGCCAACAAGCACGGAGCCCAATTCTAGGGCTTCCTGCCGTTTGCCTCCAACCAACTAACATCTACTAATGTGCACCACGATGCTGAGCTTCCTAGCTTGGTTGCCACATTGCAAATATGATCAATAGAGTTCAGTCTGCACTCAGGACTAGACAAGATGAAATTAGTTGCACTCCCGTGAATAATCAATACATTAAGACTCTTTTCAGATATGATCCTTGATCATGAAAACAGAAGAATGAAACATGTCACTACTTAATGTCTCACTAAAAGGATGTGAATGAAGTTAATTAGAAACCGATAATCGAAGAACATTAAAAAGTATGTTAGGAAAGACGAATGAGAAAAAAGAGATAATTCAGGTAAGAAAATTTTCACTTTCGATGATATCCTTTTTCTAAAGCTGCACAGTCATATTTATATAAATACCATATACATATAACGATCTATTATGAAACGATAGAGTATAATTATGTCATTAACCTAGTGCTAAAAGACTGGGATCAGGAATGGGAAGTAGTTGTATAATAATCTTTTAGTCAGTAGAAATGAGGAGAAAGGCAAGGAGTTTGACATGATGCCAATGCAAATTGGTTGCGTGTCCACTTGATAGATGGGAGGTGAAGAATGAGACAAGGTTCATAATGAAGGTGATAATAATAATAAACTAACTAGTGAAAAATGAAATCGACAAATTGTGATTGTGGTAAGACCATGGTAAGATAAGAGATGGAACATCAGCATCATCATCATTCATCTATATCAACATAGGATCAGGCATAACTGCGTAAGGGTCCAAGTTGCCACAGTTCATATCAGTAAATCAAGTAAAAAGACGGTGAAGTGGAAGATGAAGAAAAGAAAATTCAGTCATAAGAAATATGAAGTATGAAAAGAAAGAAAGGCTGAGAGAAAGGTGAGATTCGGTATAGCGTCGTTAAGATGAGGATAATGTATGTGGTGATACATCTGCAACACCGACATCGGTTCTGAGCCATGTGATCACCTAGAGTCTCCAGTCACTGGTTCCTCTTGTCCCGCTGACCCAAACCACCTAGTCTGTATCGCTTTATATGGCTCAAACCAGCAGTCAAACACTTCATACATTGATGCCATGTTTTCGTTCTGGCCACCTCGGGCCTTTTCCCAACCTGGATCTACTTCGACCGACATTGTGTGACGAGGTAGACGGCGACTAGGCATACGTAGTGCGTGTCTCAACCATCTCAGCCGATGAAGGTTCATAACCTCGTCAACTGATTTACCTCTGCTCCCTAAAAATTCTGCACCTGACTTCTGCATTACTCACGTAGTGACACCACGGAATACGGTCTATACTGCGGAAGCAACGGTGGTCAAACACTTGAAGCCTTCTCATGTCTTCCAACTTCACAGCCACACAGTAGAATAGACCAAACTGCTGTGCAGTACACGCGACCCTTAATAGACAATCGGATATCACTGCGCGCCACAGGTGGCGTAAGTCGGCAAAAGTCAACCAAATTTTTTGAATGAGTGCAGACATTTCATCTGCCACTGACTAGTGCAACAGGGCTGATCCTACTTTCCAGGCAAGTGAAGTGGTCGACGCACTCAACCACTACACCCTCTATTGTTAGCAAAGGCACCGTTGAAGACCAATCCTAGAGCAAAAATTTGTGAGAAATGCATCCCAAACATCCTCAACCTGCTACTCAAAGTGTTCAGAAGACTGGGCATCTTATCAGCACCTTCACCTAACAGGACTATGTCATCTGCATATTCTTCTAGGTGTAACGAAAATTCTCCTGCAATTAGGTCAGCCTCTGTGTAATCAGGTGACGAAAGGGAGACACTCATGAGAATATCTATGATAAAATTGAATAAGAATGGAGATGGAACATACTTCTTTTTTATGCAGAGATTAGGTTTGAACTAATGAGCTGCCAGTGTTTCCACTGGGCATAACTGTCGAAGGCGTACTGTTTTTGAACTATTCTATTTAACTCTATGAATGACAGTGAAGGTGGACTGTAGTCGAGGTATATGTTTAGAGTTGAACAAATGTTCAAGAACAGAACCTTTAATTGATTTACATTCTCCTCTCAACAACCACGCAGGACAGTCCTCAGAGATACGTTTAGAAAGTGTATGCTTTGCACGGCCTAGATAACTGGCTGTACAGGAGCAAGTAAATTTGTAGACACACATTGAGGTGGTCCAAAGCGGCAAACTCTTCCTTAATGCACTGTGGAACCAACTGATGATTCGAGAAGCTGATCTACAGCTTCGCTGAGAAGAATGTTTTTCTCAGCTACCCAGACAGCTGATTCTCCAGGATCTCTGGTTTTGTGTCGTCTTTGAAACCA